CCACCCACCTGTCAGCACACCTCACCCACCTGTCAGCACACCCCACCCACCTGTCAGCACACCCCACCCACCTGTCAGCACACCTCACCCACCTGTCAGCACGGCGGTGTGCTCATCGCCGCAGCTGATGCCAGCGATCTCGTCATTTTTAATCCAAAATTTCGACGGCGCGTTGTCAGCGAAGCGACTTTTGCCGAAGGTGAAAACCGCTCCGCCCTCTGCAAACAAAACCGCGCAAAAAATTCCATAGTTTTTATTGACTAAAAAATAATTTTTTTATCCATTAAAAATTTTCCAAGCTTTGCGATAACAAAAAATTACACTGAGAAAGATCATGCTTACGCATCATCTAGATTCTAGAGGGCTTGAAATATTGAATCATATCCGATTAGTTATAGAAACTCAGAAATTTATTTGTAATTAAAAAAAGGAACGAATTGTTTTCTTCAATTGTTACATTAACTGTATAAAGCAGATATTAAATTTTACTTTACAAATAACAGCTAAAATCAGTTATATGACTAAAAGTTTTATTTCTTGAAAACTCGAAGCAATATTGATGTTTACGCAGAGTCCCATTTCGAGAATTGGTCAGTACTTGTAAAAGTTTGTTAGCTAAAAATGAATAAAAATTTCCATCCAAAATTGAAAAATTTATTGATAACTTCTATTTTTCATCATGGAATTTGACTCCTGAGCATAACTAAACTTCTCATTTCACTCACTTGGGATTTCGAGTTCATCTTCTACAGTCATCGTAAAGAGCGGATTTGCAGCAATTACTCATTGAGAGCAAAATATTGGTTAAACATCACCTCCAAACCATGATTATCAACAAATGCTGCCGACAGAATTGCACTCGCTCACCGAAAGAGTAACTCGGAAGTGAGGCGAGCAGCAGCAGCAGCAGCAGCAGCTGGGCCTCTCGAAGCTAAAATATTTTCAGTGGAATCGAACTAAGCTGTGACCTTGATGAGGAATCCATTATGTATTTAACTATCATTACTCAGATTTTTAAGAATTCGATTATTTAGTGTGATATTATCTAAAAAATCAATCATATGCTGCATAATGAGGTAATATTAAAAAAAAGTGCATTCTTTAGTTAGTTATAGCAGCATATTTGCAATCTTGAATATTTTATAGGTATATATGAATTAATAGATGTGAATGAGCATGAAATCAGATTTTTTCAAATTTTTACATTTAGCCTTAATGTTATCTTCTTTAGCAGAACCATGCATTCAACATTCTGAATACCGACTGACTGACGAGTCGTCTAGGGATTCGGACACGGGTTCTACTCGATTCATTCAAAGTGTCGCCATATTGCGACAAGCGTCTCGTGAGTCTATACTTGCTATCTTGGGGTGAAATATTCACTCCCAAGAACCTATTTTTTTGAAACTCTACCGTTAATTGCTAAAAACGTTATCAAAGTATTGATAGTATTAAGACTATCAATTTTTTTCTTGAGTTGGTATCATAATGGCTTGCTGAACAAGATGTGTCGCATTGGGAAAATCGTTACTCCGCTGGAGGTTACTTCTTTATTTGTTTGTACGGTTGACGGTCCGTATGGACCAAACCACGAGCTCGGCTGCCATGGACTCTCGCAAACCTGTTGTGCGATCTGCCCAGCTGGGTTCTAAATTACCTAATCAAGACTCTTCTCGAGGTGAGACTTTGAGAGTGCCAGACGACTGAGAACGGTGAGACGCAGGCGTCACTTCACTCACTTGGCTCAGTTGGCTGTGCTATATCAATAATAGTAATATCATTATTAATAATAATGAATTATTTTATTTGTAGTTGAATGAAAAGTTATGCGTGTGTTAACCTAATTTAATTGTAATGTTCTCTAATCTCACCAATCTTGTAAAATGACTGTTCTGCTAGTTTACCCATCATAGTTATAGTATTAGTAGCACTAGCAGTCTAGCTAGGAGTAGCCTACTAGTACGGAGTACGGTAGTAGTACTCTAGTAGGGCCTACTACCTAACTACTAAGTACTAAGTCTAATGAGTAATGATAGTGGCAAAGGAGAACATTTCTTGTTGCCCTTCCTGAAGTTCATTTCTGAGTCCCAATAACCCATCAATTATAAGTAGAGTAGACAGTAGTAAGAGTACCTAGTAACTAGTACCTAAGTATCTTGGATAACAGCATTATCATAAAAGAGAAATTGATTTAAATATTGAGTCTTTTTATTTGAGTGTATGAGAAAATTAAAAATGAACGGATTCTAAAAAAATCTCTGGTTTGCCACTAATGCCCATGCCCCAGTCCTAGTCCCACTATAATATATAGTCTATAATGGTATTGGTATATAGTCTATATACCCATTGCTCACTGCTCACTTCTGCCAATGGGCAACTTGTTATTGTTAACAGGCAACAGTATTTGTCATCTTAATAATGATAGTCTAATTGATTAATTTAATTGTGCTGAATTGAGTCATAGTCTCATAGGTTCACTAGCTTCATGACTGTATAATTGTATTATTTGTTGGGCTCTGCTTAACTAAAATTATCCTCTGATAATCAGCATAGGCATTATTTTTCATCTGATAGGGTGGTCGGGTTAGACTCACTCTAGACTCTAGTACAGCAGGTTAACCTAACAAATACATTTAATAAGTTAAACAAGCCTAACAAGGAGAGGCTAACCTGTGCCCTGTGGGCTGGTTAACTTAGTTCAGAAGTTAGGAAATGGACAGATAATGACTGAAATTATCTTCCATTCTTGTTATTTGAATTATGTGCAATGTGGAATGGAAATAATATACATATATATATTGAAAAAGAATATCATTTTGATCTAACCTGATTCAACCTATGTAATAAATACACTTGAAACTTCATAATATTACTAATTTTTGCATTCTCATTTTATTCAATATATTTGGTGAGGCACCTGAATTGAGTGTCATTAATAAATTTGGTCAACATAGCTGTTAACAGATTTTATGTCAGTATGAAAAAAACTTCAGAATTGTGCAAGCGGTCAAATGGAGGTGGTCGTCGGCAGCAGCGTGATTGGGAGCGTGACAGCCTGGTGGCTACTGGCATTGGTGGGGGCTGTGGAGGAGGTGGTCGGGGGAAGTGCAATGGCTGGCCAAACAAGCCAGGTTATGGACGTCCCTCTAACAAGACCAACCGTATCAAAGAGAAGGAGGGTGGACAGGTATATAATTGCCTAGTACCAGCCATCAGCTTAATAAAGAATTATCGAGGCTGCAATAAAATATGCGCCCAATTCAAGATTACTTATTTCCAATAATTTTCATTTGTATGATATCTGATTAATGTGTCATTATTAACAATTATTATACATGATTAATGTGTCATTAAGCTCATTTCTATTAATTTTTAATTTTTATGATTTCACTTTACTTTGTCATTTTCCAGGTAAAACTTCAGGGATGGAGGTCATCTGACCACTATGATGATGAAGAGTACTACGAGAGCTCTGGGCGACAGCTCACCCACCAAGCACAGGGTGGTGGGTTACATGGCTTCGTTTCGTGAGGCTCGATGCTTCCACATGAAGTGGGCGATAATACGGCCGCCAGTAGAGGCTGCCGAGCACGCAACAGGTCAGCGACCTGACGCCGCTGCGGTGGCCGGTGAAGCCCAGTCAGTGAAAATCTACGGACGCGTCAGCTTCTGATTTGGAGTACCAGAAGCTGGGGCGACTCTAAATTTTGTTAGGGCAGTCAGATTTCCGTACAACTCAACCCAGACATTCCTCCTTGACCTTCTCATTACCCATGAGTATGTCGTTCCACATCACAATGTAATTTATTCCAGCTATTTTATTTACTAAGAATATTTATATGTATGTAAATCTCTACTATGACTATGCCCATCTTATCCCATATGTCGTTCCTCGGTGCTATGATATTCTACACAAGACCGTCGTAATACATTACCGAGTGATTAACATGACTTCGTCATTCCCCACGACTTGGTCAATCCTCGTGACTTTTTCATTCCGCAACAGCGATGCCATTAATTGCACACGACAAAGTCACACGTCACGACGTGACGTGTCGCTAGTCACACGTCACAACATAGTCACACGTCAAGGCATAGATAGTCACACGCCACGACATAGTCACACGTCACGACGTGACGTGTCGCTAGTTACACATCACAACATAGTCACACGTCACGGCATAGTCACACGTCACGACATAGTCACACATTACGACTAAATTCATCGCCTCTACTCATGCATGCTCGTGCAGTCGAAAGCTATAGCTGCTCTGCCATCGATTTCCATGACGCCTCGTGGGCCAAGCCAGGAGCAGGGAACTCGACAGTTGAATTGGATATTCCAGCCAAATCATCGAGAAAAAATGAACGGATTTTATTAGCAAAGTACGATCGAATCTATTGGTGAACCGTGTTCCTTCCCTCCCTAGGAACAAAGTTGATACGAAATAATGCCTTTGGAATATCGTTCATTCAACTTTATTTCAACGTCGGATGTCAGTTTGATTTAGAGCAGGCAATTGCATCATAGTAACTGCCCGTGTGTACAAAACCATTAATAAGAATACCGTAGTTTAAACTTGATTGACATGAACCCTTTGACATAATCCAATGTTATGGTTTTGTATGTAGAAACTTCGGTTACCCAGTTTATGTTCCTCTGTAATAAAGCTAATTCAAAGCTGAAACAAAGACCAAATAAAAATATTTGCCCGCCAGTTGGTTGAAAAACACAGTTCTTTAACATTTGAACTGTCAAAATTACCTGAACTCTTTTGCATCCGATAACAATCTTGCAGGTAAACTACGCCGTTCGATAAATTTACAATTCTGTTAGGAAAAATCTTAAACAATTTGATGAATAGTAATATGGATAATGCAATATTAGCTACGTACTGATTCAAGTCAACTTTGACCGGTCGAGGACCCAGCGGCCGGCGATTACCTTATCTGAGGGAGTATGGATCCGAGGCTAATGTTTGACACTGAACACGAATGTGTGTGAAAACTGCGTTCTTTTTCTGTGCTCGCTGAATTATTTTACAGGCTTCGTATACTCAGTTTTGCCCTCGCTATACTCAGTTCTGTGCTCGCTATACTCTGTTCTGTCCTCGCTATACTCTGTTCTGTGCTCGTTATTCTCAGTTCTGTGCTCGCTATACTCAGTTCTGTGCTCGCTATACTCTGTTCTGTGCTCGCTATACTCAGTTCTGTGCTCGCTATACTCAGTTCTGTGCTCGCTATACTATGTTCTGTGCCCGCTATACTCTGTTCTGTGCTCGCTATACTCTGATTTGTGCTCGCTTTACTCAGTTCTGTGCTCGCTATACTCTGATTTGCGCTCGCTTTACTCTGTTCTGTGCTCGCTATACTCAGTTCTGTGCTCGCTATACTCTGATCTGTGCTCGCTATACTCTGATCTGTGCTCGCTATACTCTGTTCTGTGCTCGCTATACTCAGTTCTGTGCTCGCTATACTCTGTTCTGTGCTCGCTATACTCTGTTATGTGCTCGCTATACTCTGTTATGTGCTCGCTATACTCTGTTCTGTGCTCGCTATAATCAGTTCTGTGCTCGCTATACTCAGTTCTGCCCTCGATAAACTCTGTTCTGTGCTCGCTATACTCTATTCTGGGTTTGGTATACTCAGTTCAACGCCCGTTTAGTTTGTTCCCTTTGCAGTTCCCTTTGCAGTACGTATAATAAATACGGTATAATGCATTAAACTCGTATATACAGTGAGCTCTGCAGTAAACAAAGTACACTGTGTAGTAAGTACAACATAATATTGAATACTGGATTCGGCGCAATAAATGAAAAAAATTCAATCTCACTACTCCAGGGTGGGATTTTACAGTTCCACTCCAAATTGGTCCGTTCATTTGCTCAACGTGCGGCTAGGCATTCCCCAGAGTATAAAGCTATCATGAAACTCTTTATCTCATCCTCAGGTTTCGTCAAGAACAAATATTTACGGTTAAAAACATTTGAAGTTATTGATATTTCAAAATTTTATTTGTACTGATTGACTTATCCACCACCTAATTCCCCAACCAAACTCTTTTCCCCTCCAGCTCGGGCAGTTCCCACAGCCTCCCTCCCCACTGCGATGCTGCACCATATAATGACGAAATAAAATATCTATATTCAAAAAATAAATCTGGTAGGCTTCACAAAAATCTTTCATAAATTTAGCGAGGATTGGTTTCATGCGAAGCAATTGTTGGCAGTAACACGAGGTTACGTTAATTATGTTCAGTTTGAATGGGGTTTTGACAACTATTGTTATCCTATAAATGTAGACTCAACTAACATGCATTCATATCAATAGTTAACATACATTTAAAATTAGAAGAACGCTGCTGAGGTAGCATACCGGCGAGAGTGTCGCAACTTTACAATTCACTAACTACTTCAGTAATAGACACTACACTGATGAATGACACTGTGACACGGTAAGGATGAGTATGAATAATACTGTAGCAAGAGCACTGTGCACGCAGTGTAGCTGCTTATCCTACACTGAGTACAGGAAGCTTTGAACACTGCGCTGCTGAGGCCAGCATTCCTGAACGATCATTGATTGTCTGGCAACACCTTGAAGATTACGATGGTGGTGACATTGTATTGTGACACTGTGGTGTGGTGACGTTGTGAGGTTTGGTGACGTTTTGTGGTTGGTGACTCTGTGAGGTGTGGTGACACAGTGGTAAAGTGACACTGTGTGGATTAATTGGTGACACTGAACGTGTGGTGCGGCGACAATTAATGAATTGTATGAGAGAATATATGCATGTATCAATAACGTCATTAGCACATGATACAAGAGTTAGGATTCAGAATACAATCTGACATGCACTTTCTACTATTCAAACAAATAATATAATCAATAATCACACTTGTTCGAGGATGCATTTCCAGACATGATAATTCGTGTGAACGGAAAGGAGGCTTTATAATGTCCGTCGTTAGCAGTTGGTGACCGTTTAGTATTCCTGACTAAATCCGCAAGGTGGAATGTTATTGTTGTTTGCTGTCCTAGCCGCAAGGCTATTTTCTTCATGTGATTAGTACAAATTAGGAACGTGAAGTCTGCAGGGGCTTGACTACTGGCAGAGAATTACACACCTGGGACTGTTTTACTCATCGAAGAGAAAGAAGAAGTTTTTTGCAAAGGAAGATGGTAACTGAACTTGCTTTTAACTTTCATAGTGCATCAGTATATAGTGTCATATCACAGCGATTGGAGGGGGCGACTAGCTGTGCACTGCAAAATACCCCCATCGAACAATTGTGAGCACGATTCATGATCGAACACTGACAACCCTTCAAAAAGGAATATAAACAGCATTGTGCATCGGTTGGGTCTACTGGGGAACAGCCTGCTGAGTAAACAGTGGTCATGCAGTGAACAGAAAACTTCAATATTGACTGCCATGAATAAGCCATTATCATCATTGAAGCGTTCAACAAAGGCTAAACATGGCACAAACTTCCTGCGCATTGATCGCTATTAGACACTAAAGATTCATTGCATACATTATACAACAAACGGCTTGGCTGAGTATAAAGCAAATAGCTTCGCATCTAGAGGTACTTTCCATCCATTACTAAGTGCCTATAATTGTATTAACAGTTGGCGACGCGCGAGTGTCGAATTAAAAAAATATATATTTTTAATAAACTCAGTTGTCAAATATCACAGCATACAAATGGCTTTCGGCACATGCTGAAAACTTGATAGCCGTTCTCTGGCAGTCTTCAATTGCCTCCGTGACCTCGTTGGTGTTCTCGGATCGAGGTGGTTAGTGTGGCTTTTCTCAAAAACACAATCGGTTTTCATTTAACTTTTATGGATTAGTAAATATTGCGCAACCGGTGAGATTCTCGACATTCGATCAATAATCCTCTGATTATTCTCTGATAATCACCGGTAGAGTTGGCAGCTCTCTGAAACTCTTATTCTGAATTCATTTATCCAAGTCCTGATGCGCGTATTGATGGCAGCTGAATGGATAGCAGTCGACTGCTCACAATTCAAATAACCTTTTATGAAATGATATCCGGCATAATTGTGTAAATCATCGGTATACAATCATAGGACGCTAATTATCAAAACTCTGTTGTAACCTCATTTGTGATTATTATACGTTTGTCTTCACGATAGGTTTTATCACTGATTCAACATGGCGCAATCTTTCCGCTATACGCTCGACTCTAAATAATATAAACGAGTCGTCACAGTCGATCTGATGATTAGACACGTTAAACTTATATATGTAGTAGCGTCGTGCGGGTAATATATAGGTATAGCGCTACTAGAAGTTGCTTACTATTTCAGAGCATTAGTCATAACTATATAATACGAGTCGATAGAGCTAATAACTAAGACAAGTCGACGGAGCATTCGTCTACTACTAACTAACTAACTAGTCTAGTTGACTACTAGTTACTACTAGTCTTAGTATAACTAACTACTACTAGTCGACAATCCCTCCCATATTAACCAACTAATATTTTTAACTAATAATAATTGACAGAGCATTCGTATAAACTAACCAACTATTCAGCGTTGAAACCGAGCAAGCATAACGTGAACATGAACGTAGCTTTCGTGTTGTCAATAATCGATCTTTGCAACATTGAAAGCCTGCGACTTATGCCTCAGCAGCGCTAACTCCGTGCTTACAACGCGCGCTACTGCAACAACAACAAAGATACTATGATAAATTCATGATAATTATATGATGTGATATAGTAAACTAGTCTGAATACCTACTCTCCCAAATTACTAGCGAGTTCTACACTCAGAAAAATGAAAAAGACTTTGTCCAAATATCAATGCACTAATTTCTTATGGTGCAGGTCATGCTTACCTATGCACCATAGTTGAACTATGTTATAACTTATAAACATGGTACCATCTGTGACTAGGACCGAGTGAGCGCTGCCAGCTGCATACCTACTCTCCCAAAAAACTAGCGAGTTCTACACTCAGAAAAATATAAAAAAATTGCAAATTATACGACGAGATTAACTACAGGTTCCATATCAGCGATCGTCATGTTATTTTCACAATTTTTGTTCGTTGTTGTTAATTTACGTTGTCATAGAACTGGCTTTGAGCATTGAACCTACACTTTTAAAAATAAGTTAAGCTTTGTCCAAACAGCGATGCACCTATAGCCTTTGAGTGGGTCATCCTAAGCAAGTTTGGTACAGAAAAAGAGCGTTTCAGTGCTATATTCAGTCTGTGCTTGCGCTGTGGGTAATATATAATGTGTCATTAAGTGGATAATTATATCATTAAGTGGTTAAATATATCATTAGTGGATAAATATATAATTAGTGGATAAATATATCACTAGTGGATAATTATATCATTAAGTGGTTAAATAAATCATTAGTAGATAAATATATCATTAGTGGTTAAATATATCATTAGTGGATAAATATATCATTAAGTACATAAATACATCATTAGTGGTTAAATATATCATTAGTGGATAAATATATCATTAGTGGATAACTATATCACTAGTGGATAATTATATCATTAAGTGGATAAATATATCATTAGTGGAGGGGCTCACTTTGCTCTCCCCAAACCCCAACTTGCCGTGCCTACCACAGCCCCACAGGTAGACTTGACCGCTACCTGTCAACAAATTTTTTCTTTGTCAAGTATCTATATTTATTCGAAAATTCCTTTTTATAGCGAATGCTTCCAAAACTTTATTTAGGCCTAAATGATTTGCGTTACTTCACTGGAGCATTAAAATATCACATTTTTATCAACTAATAATTTAGAAATAAATTATTTTTGATTTTCCGATGTCTGCGCATTTTCTGTCGAATTTATTTCATTTTGATGTTTCAATTTTCTTTAAGATTTTCTCAATTAAGTTGAGTATATAATATAAACTATTTTGTATTATTTTCCTCTTACTTCTATTTCAAGCAATTAAACTCAAAATGCAATCAAAATTTCATTGCACCGCAAAAAATATGCAGCAATGCTGCTATTTTTTGCAATTGTTTTGAAGTATAATCATATAATTATGAGCAATCGAAATACTATTATCTATTTAAAACAGATATGTAACAACAACTATGAATTGCATCATTGACGCTCCGAGTATGAACGCCTTCAAGAACAGACTAGAGGAAGCTATGCAGGAGCATATGTTCAGTCCTAAAATGCCTAGCAAATTACGGACCAGGCAATAAGTCCAGCAGCTATCTCAATCAATCGTCAGCTATGGAAAGATCGGGTTCCAAAGGCCGGATCCCTTGTGAATCAAGTCACGAAAAGTTCAAGAATCGGCAACAGGCCATGGGCCTATTTCTTCAGTGCCGACACTTCTATTCTATTCTAATTGCTTGTCAGTTAGAAAATTGCTGGTATTATTATTATCATTATTATTATTATCATTATGGCGCAGTACTGACTGGTAATAGCAGCACAGTGAGCGTATCCCGCGGCGATGGCGACAAACTTGGCGTCATGAGGCGCGAGCGTCGGCGAGAAAACTGGCGAGAACGTCACGTCGGGGCCCTGGCCTAACTGGCCCACCGTGCTGCGCCCACACGACCACACCTGGCCCTCCTCTGGCGGGTGGGGAGGGTTTGGTGGGTTGGGAGGGTATTGGTGGGTGGGGAGGCTATATAGTGAGCTTTATTGGTGGGTTAATAAATGTTATTCTGCTTGAGGACAACACTGTCCAAGCTTTGAGTAAGTTTTCAATGCAAGTGAAGCGATCATTTGCCACGGGCTATAGTCTGCAACGCTGTGATATCTTCCTCGTTTCGAGTAAATTATTATCTGGCTGAAATAATTGATAATAAAAAAATTTCTTCTTGGGGTGGCAGCAAGTACCCATGTAGAAGGTGTTTAATAAGTCGGTTACCCATAGCGGTAATTTGTACAATCTTATACGATAACTCTGACTCCAAATATTCTTTTATGGAACGATGTTACGGGACATTAGCATAGCAATGTTACGGGACAGCAATTGGATCTGCTCGGGTGAGGAAAATACGGCGAACATATTGGCCACGACGCACGACACATGACACACTACCAACGACATACTACTCGCGACGCACGACTTATTACACAATACGCACAGCATACGACTAATCACACTACGCACGGCACACGACTCATGACACACTATCCACGACACACGATCCAATACCATGACTCATGACTCACTACCCACAACTCAAGACTCACTACCCACGACTCAAGACTCACTACCCACGACTCATGACTCACTACCCACGACTTGAGGCCCACGACTCTAGACCCACGACTCTAGACTCACGACCCACCAGTAAGTATGAGGGAGTGTTTGCCCCCAGCAGCCACGCGGGACGCGCGCTGCACAAGTCCTGGGACTTGCTGGGGCGCCTGCAGGGACGGCTGAATCTCCCGTCCCAGCTTCCCGTCCGCCGCCTCGCCGAACGTCAGCAGCGCTCCGACCGCTGAAAATATTCATATTTATTCAGTACATTTATATATGAGAATATAGAAACAGCTTATGTATAGTCAAGACTGCGTTCCGACCGCTGAAAATATTTACATTTCATTCATAACATTTATGTATGAGAATATAGACATAATTATGTATAGTCAAGACAGCGTCCGACCACTGAAAATATTCATATTTATTCATAACATTTCTATTTGGGAATATAGAAACAATTATGTATAGTCAAGACAGTGTCCGACCGCTGAAAATAATCATATTTATTCATAACTTTTATATATGAGAATATAGACATAACTATGTATAATCAAGACAGCGTCCGACCGCTGAAAATATTCATATTTTATTCATAACATTTATACACGAGAATATAGAAACAACTAACACTACGCAGCACACCACCAGCACACTCTGTACAACGCAGCCTTATGACCTTGTGACCTTATGATGAGTTCGGGACTTCCTAGTGTTCCGGTCACGCTGATGCGCCGCCTTCGTCGTCCTCCGTCTCCGAGTCGTCGCTAGGCAGGTCACCCCGCCCTCGGGTCCCGTATGTAACATTGGACGTGTTCCGTATATTTGCCCTCCTTTGGGCCAGCTGATGCAAGATGCTGTTGCTCGTCACTTGCTGAAGATAGTTTCCCATTACTGGACAGTCTGGGATCTTTCTAAACCAATTGTCCAGTCGTCTCTTGCAAGTTGCAAGGGTGAACTCCCCTCCTGTCAGCTCTTTTGGCAAGGGAGCCTCGGTCCTGCTACGGACAGTGATCCCTCACGAAGAGTCTGTACTCTGGCCGCGGCTCGGTTATTAAATGGGGGAACCCTGCACAGTCTTCCCCTCCTGTCGTTGTAATGAGTCATTATTCTGGAGGTCTCACTCACAAAGTTGGGGGCCAGTCCGGTTATCATCTTCCAAGAGTACAGTATGAATGATATATACCTCTCTCTTCTTCTCTCTAGCGAGTACAAGTGCTTCAGCCTTTTCCAGTAGTTCAGGTTCAGCTTCCTCATGCCGCTGATCCTGTACGTGAAGTTCCGCTGCACTGCTTCTAGTTTCCGCACCGCACCCGCCTTGAATAGTGCCCAAAGTTGGCAGCAATACTCAAGATAGGGAGCCAAGGGCTCTGAAGAGTGTAATCATTGGTGCAGTGGTACTGCTTCTCTCGTTCGAAATGTCCGCCAAACCCACCTCATTCGTGGCAGCCGGCGCGCAACTATTTCCTCGATGTCGGCATCAAACGTGGTTTCGGTACTCATCAACACTCCGAGATCCCGAACTAGTTGCTTCTCCGCAATTTCTGTGCCATCCGATGCCAAGTAGCGATGTATCATCCCGATCTCTGTGCGAACTATGTATCTCATTACTTCGAACTTTGTGCCGTTGAACTGCATATTGTTCGCTAGGGCCCAATCGTAGATTGTCGACAAGTCATCCTGTAACCTCTCGCAGTCTAGGTCATCTGTGATCTTCATCAGCACTCCTGTATCGTCCGAAAATGACGATGTAGATGCGTGGGTAAGTTCTGAGTCGATATCAGCAATGTGGATGAGGAAGAGGATCGGCCCAAGCACTGAATCCTGTGGAACTTCGCTTCTCTCGATTTCGAGTTTCCAATTGCGACAGCTTGTACTCTATCTGTAATGAAGTTGTGGATCCAAATTAACAGGTTTCCTACTACCCCCAACAGCCTTAGCTTTCTAAAGAGCACCCATGGTCGACTTTGTCAAAATCTTTAGCAAAGTCTAAGTAAACTACGTCCACGCCAGCTCCCTCCTCCAGCTGGGCCACAAGACGGTGATGGTGTTCCAGTAACTGTGACAAACAGGAACGATTACGCCGGAAACCATGTTGTCCATTGTTATACAGATCAGCCTCTTCCATATACAGGACAAGCCTCCTGAACACTACCTTCTCAAAAACCTTGATCACATGTGAGGTCAAGGTCACAGGTCTGTAATTTTTGAGTCTAGCTATCCCTCGGACCTCCTTTGCGGATTGGCGTTATCAGTCCCACTTTGAGGCCCTCAGGGATAATTCACTCGGTCATCGAGGCTTTCCAGAGCATTGTGAGTGGAGCCTTCAGTGCTCCAAGACTCTTCTTCAACAGCACTGCCGGTATTCCATCGGGTCCTGGCGCTGAAAACGTTGCCAGTTCTTTGATACTCATTTTCATGTCTTCTGGTCCAAACTCAATGTCCTCTAACCCTCTTCCTCCTGGCAGCTCCTGAAGAACTTCAATGTCATTCTCCTCCCTTGAATAGCGGGGTTTACTGAACATTGATTCCAATTGCGAGCCATCACAGCACCACGCAGCATACCACCAGCACACTTTGTACTACGCAGCACCCCGCATCACCCCACCAGTAACCAGCAGGGTGTGGTAGTAGCCACACACAGCACCACACAGTACCACCCAACACCCCGCATCACCCCACCAGTAACCAGCAGGGTGTGGTAGTAGCCACACGCAGCACCCGCAACCCTGCCCTGCAGAGGGAGGGGTGTGGGGGATGTCTCCTGGGGTGACGGCAGTCCCAGCTGTCCTGAGGCGTTACTCCCCCACACAAGAACCTCTCCGGACTCTGGCGGTAGAATCAAAACATTACCAGCTCTACATTTTTCTTGTATTGTTATAATTTGTCAATTTAGAATAGAGTTATTCATTACGACGAGTTTGACTAAAGAGAATGTCATTGGTAATAATCGGTGCCACTGTAGAGTGAACCCTACCACTACACTTATTATTGAATAACTAAAGAAAATTAACTCTTCCAAATGAAAATAGAATTTTTAATCAAATATTTTAATATAAATAGAAGAAATTTATTTCGCATGGCTTCGTTTCGTGAGGCTCGATGCTTCCACATGAAGTGGACGATAATACGGCCGCCAGTAGAGGCTACCGAGCACGCAACAGGTCAGCGACCTGACGCCGCTGCGGTGAAGCCCAGTCAGATTTCCGTACAACTCCTCCAGACATTCCTCTTTGACCTTCTAATTACCCATGAGTATGTCGTTCCACATCACAATTTGTAATTTATTCCGACTATTTCATTTCATTCGATATTATATATGGCATTGACACTGCAGCCTACACTGCGGCGCCGAGATCACTATGTTATGTTATGTTAATAGGACTATGCCAATCTTATCGCATATGTCATTCCTCGGTGCTATGATATTCTACACAACACAGTCATAATACATGACCGAGTGATTAACATGACTTCGTCATTCCCCACGACTTGGTCAATCCTCAAATCAATAATCACACTTGTTCGAGGATGCATTTCCAGACATGATAATTCGTGTGAACGGAAAGGAGGCTTTATAATGTCCGTCGTTAGCAGTTGGTGACCGTTTAGTATTCCTGACTAAATCCGCAAAGTGGAATGTTATTGTTGTTTTACTGCCCTAGCCGCAATGCTATTTTCTTTATATGACTTTTACGAAGGAACGTGAAGTCAGCATGGGCTTAACTCCTGGCAGAGAATGACACACCTGGGACTGTTTACTCATCGAAGAGAAAGAAAAAGTTTGTTTCAAATGAAGATGGTAACCAAACTTGCTTTTAACTTTGATAGTGCATCAGAATAGTTGCATCTCCAATCGCTGTGATAGCTCCATATCCCAGCGATTGGAGGGGGTGACTAGCTGTGCACTGCAGAATACCCCCATCGAACAATCGAGTTACGGCCAGAGTTCTGCATGACTCTTCGAGAGGAATCTCTTTTCGTTGCGGGACCGAGGCCGCCCAGTGTCTTGCCGCTGGAGCTGAGAATTAAGGGTCTCACTCCTGAGACCTTCATGGATGTATGGCTGGATTCGTTTGTGAGCACAATTCTTGATCGAACACTGACAAGCCCTTCAACGAGAAATAAAAAAAAAAAGCATTGTGCATGCATCAGCTGGCCCTACTGAGGAAAGATGCACGATAGTTGCGTTCATCGTTACTCCCGGAGCCCTATTACATGGCATGAACAGCCTGTTGAGTAAACAGTGGCCAGTGAACAGAAAACTTCAGTATTGACTGCCCTGAATAAACCATTATCACCGTAGAAGCGTTCAACAAAGGCTAAACATGGCACAAACTTCCTGCGCATTGATCGTCATAACGCAAACGTTGAAGGCGCGTTTTCCATTGAAAGATTATAAATTAATCAATTAGACACTAAAGATTCATTGCATACATTATACGGCAAACGGCATAGCTGAATAGAAGCGAATAGCTTCGCTGCTGGGAGTAGTTTCCATCATTTATTATGTAGTATTACCAGTTGATGCGAGCAGAGGAGGGTAGTAGCGCGCTACATGTAGCGGTAGCGGCGCTACATTTAAGCAATTGTAGTGGTAGCGGTAGCGCCCGCTACATATTTTAGTAGCGATACGTTTTGCCGCTAACCAGCATTTAAAAACCAGCATGATACATAATATAAATTACAGAATAAAACTGTACGAAAGATTTCAGTGTAATGATGTCAACCTCAGCCTGTTACTAGTGTCAACATGTTAGTTGTTACCAGAGGTGGGCATGTAGCGCGCTACATGTAGCGGTAACGATAGCGCGGCTACATTTTAACAAGTGTAGCGGTAGCGCCCGCTACATTTAGAGCATGTAGCGGTAGCGGCCGCTACATTTCAAAGTAGCGCTGCCCAGCTCTGGATGCGGGTGTCGAATACTGGCCCTCATCATTGTGGCCCCAGCTGTAGATACCACCTGTCTCTGTAGAGGTGAATTTCCCAAGAAAGTTGTCATTAATTCAGGGTTTAGGACACATCCTTTCCCAAGAAAATTGTCATAAATCAAGGCTTTAAGAACATCCTGTTACTGATACCAAACTATTTTGGATGCAAATTTTTGTGTTTCATGAGTAACTAAGTTTTTGTTAATATTTTACTTAAATTTTT